ACATCATTGGGAACCAAGCTGAGATTGAGTAGTGCTTATCATCCACAAACTGATGGGCAGTTAGAAAAAACAATCCAAACTCCAAAGGATATGTTGCATATGTGTGTGCTTGATTTTCAAGGGAATTGGGAAACTCACTTGCCTGTAGCCGAATTTGCCTACAACAACAGTTTTCATTCAAGCATTGGTATGACGCCTTTCGAGGCTGTATATGGCAGAAAATGTCGGTCTCCTATTTGTTGGGCAGAAGTTGGAGATGGGCCCTTACTTAGGCCTGAGATTCTGCATGAAACAACGGAAAAAATGAAGTTAATTCAGCAAAGAATGAAAACCGCGCAAAGCCGACAGAAAGTTACGCGGATGTCCGTAGACAAGACAGGGAATATGAAATGGGCTACCATGTTTTTATTAAAGTGACACCAATGAAAGGACAGACTCGCTTTGGAACCAAGGGCAAGTTAGCACCGAGGTATGTTGGGCCATATAAAATCATTGAAAAGATTAATCCAGTGGTATATCAGGTAGCACTTTCTCCGAAAATGGAACATATGCATAATGTCTTTCATGTTTCAATGTTGCGGGATTTTCTTCGAGATCCTTTTCATGTTATTGAGCCTACCCATGTGCTTTTGAGTGATGATTATTCTTACGAAGAAAGGCCCATTCAGATCGTTAACCGGTGAATCAAGAAGTTGAGAAACAAAGAAATTCCGTTAGTGAAAGTGGATTGGCAAAATCATGGTGATATCTATGCCACTTGGGAAAAAGAAGATGATATGAAGAGAAGATACCCGGATCTCTTCCCACTTGATCCTATATTATTCTCAGAGGAAGGTAATTGAGTTTGGAGGACCAAACGTCCTAAGGGGGAGCGAATGTGACAATCACCTCCTTAATTAAGCAAATTAATTATATTAAATATATGCTTATTGTTAATAATGTGATTATGTGCCATGTATGATATATGTATATGGCATTGTCATTGTGAACAGATAGGTAGAGTTATGGATTAAACCTGTCTGATTCGTTAATTTGAACAGGTAAGAATTAAGACATTAGATAGGAATTAGAGCCTAATTCACCTTAATATATTTTAATTTAGTGTAATTCAGATCATAAAATGATGAGAATTAATTTAATTGAGTGAATTTGACTTATATTAATTAATGTGATTTATTATTAGCTTAAGTTGACTTTGAAGAATAAGATGATATATATATAAAAAAGAAAAAGAAATGAATAAGAAGTAAATCCCACTCATCAATGGAGTAAGGTAGAGAACCTGTGGGGCTTCCTGTGCAATACACATAGAGTGAGAAAGGGAGAGTAAACATTTGAGAGTTCAACAAAGATTAGAAGAAGAAGAAGAACAAGAAGAACAAGAACAAGAACAAGAACAAGAACAAGAACAAGAACAAGAACAAGAACAAGAAGAAAAAATTGAAGAAAGGGTTAGGGAAAAACATTCAACACAACTCAAATTGTTCACTCTAGGTAAGAACTCCTCTCTTTAATCTTATGGAATTGAAGTGATGTACTCATAACTTAGGAAATTCAAGAATGCTTAAAGAACTCATAAGCTTATTTAAGATTTGTTGATATAGATGGAAATTGATACATGGATGGCAAGATTTTTAATTATTCTTGATCATACATTCATGTACTTGCTTAAACCTTCAAAGTGAAGAGAAAACTCCATGGGAATTGCGAAATTGAAGCTTAATATGGCAACGTTTATGATTATATATGACGAGTCTTGAAGTAAAATTAGAGGTGAGAATCTATGAGCATAGAAATAAGAAATTAGATGCATTAATTTTTAAACCTTACCATGCATGGCATAATTCTTGAATTTCATGATCATCTATGTATTTTCTTGTATGAGTTTTCAAAATTGAGGGGAATTATTTTTATGGGATTTGAAGATTAAAGCTCAAGATGGATAATTGTATGAAGTAGCATGATAATTCAAACCTTAAACTCTTACATGGAAATTTGAGTTTCATTCTAAGTTGTCTCCTCTCTTTAATCTTATGGAATTGAAGTGATGTACTCATAACTGAGGAAATTCAAGAATGCTTAAAGAACTCATAAGCTTATTTAAGATTTGTTGATATAGATGGAAATTGATACATGCATGGCAAGATTTTTAATTATTCTTGATCATACATTCATGTACTTGCTTAAACCTTCAAAGTGAAGAGAAAACTTCATGGGAATTGAGAAATTGAAGCTTAATATGGCAACGTTTATGATTATATATGACAAGTCTTGAAGTAAAATTAGAGGTGAGAATCTATGAGCATAGAAATAAGAAATTAGATGCATTAATTTTTAAACCTTACCATGCATGGCATAATTCTGGAATTTCATGATCATCTATGTATTATCTTGTATGAGTTTTCAAAATTGAGGGGAATTATTTTTATGGGATTTGAAGATTAAAGCTCAAGATGGATAATTGTATGAAGTAGCAAGATAATTCAAACCTTAAACTCTTACATGGAAATTTGAGTTTCATTCTAAGTTGTGATGAACATTTGATATTGTAAAATAAAGTGTTGAGTTGTGTGTCATGATCAAGGCCCAAGTTTAGCATGTGTATATGAGTTTTGGGAGAGAATTGCATGTGTTTATGATTGAAATTTGCAAAGGAACCCACTACCATAACAGAGCAGTTTCAGATTGGTTTTGTAGCATCACCACACGTGGGGCTTAGGGCCCCGCACGTGCGAAAAACAGGGCAGTGGTGTTGTGTATTTTGCTTAAATTGTTGGTGCGGGAGGTAGGTGCGGTGTTGGTCACCGCACGTGCGGCTGGGATACTCGCACGTGCAACCTTCACCCCCACACGTGCGGCCTTTTTGGGCAGGCCCGGTTTGTTTTTTGCTCCTCTTAATTCCACCTTCCAGGCCTCCGTTTGCATGGTTTTGTTTTCATGTGCATATGCATCTCATGAACACGAGTGAATTAAAGAACAAAATTGTACCCAAATGGTTAGCAACGGATAGGAACCGAAACAATGAACATCGAATATAAACCAAATAAATAAAGAATGCATAGAACCGATCGAATGATTGATTGTGTTTTGAGTAGTATTGTGAGAATGTGATTGTAATCATGTTATGCTTGACTTTATTTGTTAGGTCGGACGCCGAATCGTTAGTGCGTGTACCAATAAGCCCACTGTAAGTAACACTGTTGTAAAGATATGTTCAAATTGTATTTTTTTTTTGAATGATAAATTATATTGTTTCTGAACTGCTACTTTTTATTGATTGAATGATGATCCTTTTTTTGAACTATATTTGTGGCATCCATAGCATATTACGATTGTTATTGTTATTGATATCACTGTTGTTATAGAGATCTTTGCCAGTTCTAATTCTTGGAACTATTGTTTATAGTTTTATGGCCATCAATTGGTTGCTCGGTCTTTATGACCTATTGTATTGTTGCTATCGGATGTACCACGTATGACCTATACGAATATGATTGATTGAATTGAACGATTGTACAATTGATTGACAAAAAGATATTGATAAAAAATGTTCTGTTGATAATTGATTGTTTTAAATACTGTAAGGACATCATTCTTAACCTTTTTACATAACTGTTATTCACTGGGCTCGAGCTCACTGTTTACTATGTATATGTTGGTGATCGAGCACTGGATCAAAGCTAGTGGTGACGACCCGAACCCTTGTTTTGTCAAGCCAGCTATTGTGCCTTACCGCGAGGTATTGAAGTAACACGCTTCTTGGCTTGGGTGTTTTGAATTCACCCTTTTGGATTATGATTATAAACTATAAGTGTGTTTTGGTTTTCGTATTCCTATTTTGGTGATGGGATTAAGTCTCTGGATTTGTACTATATTTTTTTGAATATGCTTGGACTGTAGGTTTATGACTGATGCATCTAGACTATATGTATAAAAGTTTATTTTCATTCAGGTCCTCACAGTTCATTGGACGTTGTATGTTATTGTTGATTGGCTTCTGCCTACTCCTTTATATTGTATTATTATCATTATTGTTAAACATGCTTTCGGTAATCACAGATTATTGGCCGGTTACGATGTTAAACATATAGGGGTGGATTTGGATCGTGACATGCTTGGTTTGGTTTGGTATTGATTTTTTTTTTTAATTTTTAAACACACCTAATATAAATATACTTATAAAGTATAATATTTGTGAAAAAATATTTTAAAAATTTACTAAATATCATAAATTCAAAATATATATATGTATTTATTATAAAATTTAGTACTTTTTTTTTGTATTTTTATGTATTTATTAATTTTTGAATTATATTTTTACAAATATTTTATTATTTATATACATCTAAGTAAGGTGCATCTAAAAAAGTATAAAAAAAAATTGCTTAAAATTTTAAAAATATTCACTAAAAATTAAAAAAAATATGAAAAATAAAAAAACTCAATTTAATAAAAAATAAATTCAAAAAATTGAAACAAATACACTGATTAATTATATATTTTTTATCTGAGACTTTTCTAAAAGTGAGATTATGCTATTTTTTCATATCTCAATTTTGTGAGATTGAAGATGAAAACACGCTACTCCCTCCGTCCCAAAATATTGGTCCCTTTTGGGGAATCCAACTTTTTTTGGTAGTACACTCATTACATTTGAAAAAAGTTGGTTTTCCAAAATTGCCCTTTTGATAGTACATTTTTTGGGAATATCAATGTCATAATTGTACTTTTTAAATTGTTTATTAATTTAAAAGAAGGGCAAAATAGGAAATTTACAATATTTTTGTACTTCATTTATAAAGAGGGACTAATATTTTGGGACAATGAAAAATGGAATAAGGGACTAATATTTTGGGACGGAGGGAGTATTTGTTTAGAGTCCGGATCTTCTACCGTGTTTGTCTACCGTGCTAGCAAAACAACGTCGTTTTGGTAGTTTTTTTTTTTTTTTCCTCTTGCTTTGTTTTCTCTTAGTTTGAAGACCACAACCACAACTACAACCACAACCTTAAGCACCTTATGAACAAAAAGACGAAGAGGAGACTCATGATAGACGGCAAGGAGACTTCGATGGCGAGGCGACGACGACGACAACTCCATCAAGATGGAGTGATCCTCAACCTCTTCTTCTTCTCCTCTCTCTCTCTCTCTCCTCGCCACTGCCGTCGAAGAGAAAATGCTTGATTTTATTTCCACATACTGATTTAAGTTGATTTGTTTTCTGGGTTTCTTGTATTCTTGTTGGCTTAGATTGTTGTTTGTGAAAAACCCTGAGAAATTATCTATAATAACTGGGAAAATGTGATTTTTGATTTGTTTAATGGAAGGAAAACAAGAAAGAAGAGAACTAGGATTTGGTTTCTGCTTTGCTAATCTTTGTGTTAAGTTTCTCCTTTGCTAATCTTTGGGTTGAAATCTAGGTGGTTGACCAAACAATCATCTTAGTTTCTTCATGGAATGTGAATTGGAAAACATATTTTGGATATGTTGAAGAACCCTCTTTTCTTAATCGGAATCACCGTTGCTGTCACGTTGTCGCCATCGTTCCTTTGTCGTCCGATCACCTGTCTCCTCTTCGTGTCCTTATTGTGGTCTCTCAAACAAACATTTGAGACCTTTGAGAGCAAACAATATAGGTGGAAAGAAACAAAGGGGAAAAAAAAGAAAGAAAAAAAAATTTCGTCATTTTGATAGCACTGCAAAAACCACGACAGACAAACATAACAGAGAATTTGGACTCATTTGTTTATATCTCATTTGTTTAAGAATGAAGGAAATTAGGTTAGGAGGAAGAACAAGGCATGTAGCTTAGGACTTCATCTTTTTAAAGCAATTTTTGATGTTCTTGATGTATTTAGACCTTCATCATCCCATATTCCTTTGGTTTTCATAAGTTTTGTGGCTTAAATTCCTATTTTAGATGAAAGGAAAGAAAAGTTTTGGAAAAGAATTCAATTCTTCAAATCCTTAGCAAATCTTGATATTCAATCTTTGATTTTTGAAAAGAAACCAAGTTTTTGTGTTTTGATTTGGAAAACAATCATATTTTCATGTTTATCAGTGATTTTACATGTTTTAGATTAAGTTGCATAAGCCCTAGCTCAAGAAAAATGAAAGAAGAACACTTAGAACTTATTGAATTTTCGGACTGCTCTGTTTTGCCTAGAACCGCACGTGCGGCGGGGGTTCCCACATGTGTGGCCAGCTTCACCAGAAAGCAAATTCAATTATGAAAAAAAGGCATGTACCTTGCCCGGCCCGCACTTGCGCTGCCTATCTCGCGTGTGCGGAAATCCCCTGTTTTGCCTATGCTTTTTTTTTTTGTAACCCTTTTTCACCTAAGACACTTCTTATACCCATTTGACGCTTAGATAAGACTTGAGCTAGACCTAGAACAATGCTAGAATGCTTGAGAGGATATAAGAAAAACATTTAACTAAGTTTAGACAACCGATTTGTTATGTGAATGCATGTAAGTTAGGAATTTCAATGCTTTGCTCTTTTTTGTAGGTTAAGCTTTGAAGAAGTTACACTCTTATTCTCAGAGCCATTTGTGAGTAGTGATTTAGTAACGCTATCTTCAAACCATTATGTTTTCAATGCAAACCTTGATTATGTTTACAAGTTATGATGTGTTTTGCTATGAATGAACATTCTATACTCTTTTATCATGTACTTTGATGGCATTCTTGGATCATGTCCCACAATTGGTGGAATATCCAATCATGTATTATGGCCGAGCTCATCTTGTTTCGTTTAGTCAATACCCGGGCCGGTTAAGCACCTTGTAATCCTTGAGTTGTCCATCACTTTGTAATGTTTGTAAGTCAAATATGTTTTGCTTTCTTCAAGTTAAAGATATGTTCAAGTTATGTTTCAATATTATATTTATAAAGTTCATTGATGTTCATTCAATTACTGCTTTACTTTATTACTATTCACTGGGCAATGACTCACCCCTCTCCCTTATATATATGTAGGTGACGAAGAGTTCAATTACGAAGAGAAGTTTGAATAGAAGATGGTCTTGTATGCTTGTACTAGTTTTGTAAAGCCTTGTCATGTGTTATATTTTACTTTTGTCATACGGATAATAATGCAAAGATAACAATCCAATAAGAACGTATATTTTCATTATGCACTGCGTTGAATGGATGTTTTAAATAGACTCAATATAAGCAAGTAATGGCTTCTGCACTTAGAAATTGAAAATTTGCCCCGATTATTCTAAGAGTCCAACTTGTTTGGTAAGCTAGGCCTTTGGTAGTCCACAACTACTGGCCGGTCATCTCACCATCCTGTTTGGGGCGGGTTAGGGTCATGGTAGTTCCACTCTTAGGAGTGGAATGGAAGTGCATGATTTTCTTGCAAGGTGTATGGGTGTAAGTCCCCAAAGTGTTAATTTAACAACTAACCACTGACTTTCGCTGATCAAAAAAAAAAAAAAAAAAAGGATTCTACCATTGATTTAAGTTGATGGCAAACCCTTTGCAAGTCCAATTAATCAATGGTTTGACAAACTCATTTCTGTTGTCTATGTGCTCCTTGTATTCTTTCATATTGTTTCATAACACCTTTAGAACTTTGTAGCTCCTTTTTCTAGTACTTAATGTTACTACTCCTTTTTCTTTAATATTATTATGTTATTGGGCTATTTTTATTCTATCCCTTTTTTTTTTCCCTAATATATCTGCAGGTTGTCTCTCCTGTTAAAATGACATTTGAAATGTAAGAGATCTAGTTTCACATTTTAAGTGATTATTTCCTAGATCTTTTTCAGTTTTCCAACTCTCCTTTCCTATTTGTTCTTAATTTTCTTTATTAGGAATCAGCAATAAGAAATTAGGGAAGGAAGAAGAGTTGGACGTTAAGGCTGAAAGAACAGCTGAAGCAAGTTAATGTGGAAAAGTCTGAAATGACCTCCAAATATGAAAAGCTTTCTGTTGGCCTTTGTTTTTCTTTTGCGTGTGTTCCCGCATTTATCGTATCCAACAATTGTTGGAAATATCTGTGTGGAGGTGTCCGTGTCGTGTCACGTGTCCTTTCCCATCTCCATATCTGTGCTTCTTATTCATGTGTTCTTTGCATTGCTTTAATTTTCTCTACACACTCATAGCTATCTATTAAATTTTGAGGAACAGTAGTTGTCCATATTCTATGTGAAGGTTGGCATCGTGAGATGCCAGTTTAATATGTGCTTGAATTGTCTAAAAATCATGCACTTTTTATTCTAGAGATTTGAAGCCTTAATTCCAATTGATTGGTTGATGCCATGATGATTTAAATGTCATAGTTTCTAAGCACTCATCTCGTGGTTATACTATTTGCAGGTTGTAAGGGCATTAAAATTCTTCCAGGAGGGAAGAGATTCTTTTTGTGATCAGTGGGAGGCTGTTACAAAGAAAAACCCTCTGATAGTATTCATTCACGCTGGACCTTTAATTTAGTTTTATCGTTCGGTATTCTACATTGAACTTTGAGCTTATGGTTGCTTGTTTTTAGTAGTTCATTTAACGTTATTTGGGTAATTAGTTGAGTTTCTAATCATGTCAACTTACTTGGGGGAACCAAACTCTTTTTTGCTGATAGACTACAGTAGAATTTCTTCAACTTGTAATATTTACATGTATTCTTTCCTTATATATAAATTTTCCCTTTTTTTTTTGAACAGTATAAATTTTCCTTGTTCTTATCTATTGTTTGCCAATGTTTTTGTAAATTCTGTATTTCAGCTTATGAATATGTGAGTAGATACTATAAGAATTCATGACCTTTAGTTCATATATTTTCATCAACTTGCAGTGTTGAATATTGAAATTTGAAGTTCCAGCATTAACTGTAATTCATTTTATGCAGTCTAATTCACGCTTATGCAGTGGGTAGAGACATGGAAGAAGCATTAGCTTTTGTGAGGAAAATGAAAGACGAGGGCATCGAAATGAGTTTGGTGACTTCCAGTATTCTTGTTGCGGGATTTGCTAAAGTTGGCAATGTTTGGCAAAAATAAATCTTGTATAGTATCCTATATTTTAAAAGCTAACAACACTCTGTTAATCTCTCTCGAATCTGCTTCCTGTAATAAGTTCTGCTTTCATTGGGGTTTACTAGAGCTACTTGCTTCTCATTATCTCACTCTATTATAAGATTTACTTGTTCTTGTTGTTGGTGTAATTGTTGTTTGTGTTTGTGTTTGTATTGTAAATCTCTAGATGGTGTCCATCTCAGAGTGAGTTTTAACCGATATTTTGATCTGTGTTTGATTTCTGACTTTTACTAGTTAATGGATTTGTGGAAGCAATGAATGTCCTACATTGTTCTAACTGAATTTGGTTTGCACAGAATACCTTGAAGAAAGAGAAGAATTGATCAAAGCATTGCACAAGGACAAGTAATTCTCTGATCTTCCCAACATAACCCAGGTTTTTTTAATAATAGATACTACTATATGCATGATACTTTCTCGAAGGAGTTAAACAAAAAACAGTTATTAAGCACTATTGATTACCAACTTCTTGCATTATGTTATGCTTGTTACGGGATTTCCATGAATAGGATTGTAAGTGGAGCTGTGACCTGTGCAATGATCTATATACACTTTCTTTGATTTGGATTATGGAAATTCATGTATTTGAATTATCATCTGATGCTTTAGGCTTCATGTTGGGGTTGTATAGAAATCAAAAATTAGCATTTGAATATTCCCTTGTATTTTTCTAGTAGTTGCAGTTGTTATTGCAGCTGGCGTAATCATTATCTAATCATTTATGCTTTTAATTTTCACATATGGGATGCGAGAGCAAATGTGAATTAGATTTGTTATGCGGAGTGGATTATCAGGATGGTTCCATTTAGAATTTTGTAATTCTCTTTGAAAATAGTGACTGTCGATATATATATACTTTAAAAAAATTTGTTTATAGAGTTCAAATATTAATTTGTTTGTTTGAAACTATTCTTGTTTAATGTATTTGTTTATTTGAGTTATTCTTGTCTAATGCATTTGTTTGATTGAAATTACAGTAAATAAAATTTGTAGGAAAAAAATTGAATTCTATAAAACAAATAATTCAAAATATGAGTTCTTTTAACAAAAGAAATGAGATAGTATATCATGGTTTTAAGAAAAAATGAGATATTTTATATATTAATTATCATGGTTATAACTAAAAATGAGATTCTAACTGTAAAAACGATCACATTATTTATTTATTTATTTATAAAAAAGTGAGATTATAACTTTAAAACAATCATGTTTTTATAAAAAAAGTGAGATTGTAACTTTAAAATCTTCACATTTTTCTTGAAAGGTGAGATCTTTTACATTTCAATCTTAGTTTTTTAATTATACTATCATGGCTAAAAATTGTAATGAAAAGGTTAGATAAACCGTCACACTTCCATTCATCACACTTTCTTTATTTAAAAAAAAAAAATGAAATTGAAAATTTAAGGTCACGGTTTTTTAACTGTGACCTTTTACCATTATTGTAGTAGTGATTTTTTTGATAGTCGGCAAAAGCACTCCGAGGTCCAGCACTGGAGGTACATTAGGTGAAAAATTTACCATATTTTTTTTTAATCTTTCTCACCAAACAATTTTATTAAACATCTCTTTTCTAAAAAAAATAAAATAAAATAAAATTTGAACTGTATAACATGTGGCTCATGAGTATAGATTTTTCACCAATTATCCCATATAAATAACCACTATAGGAATAGAAAAACACTAGGAACTCATAATTTTAGCATAAATGTTTTCAAGAAAGATCGTGTAGATGCAAACGTGATATATTGTGTCATCTAACAAATCTTGTAGTAGTGATTTTCCTGTAGCTGGCAAAAGCATTTCAACGAAATTCGACAGTAGAGGTAAAATTGAGAAAAAAATTTACAAAAAAAATTATTCTTTTAATCAAACAATTTCGTTAAATATTTCCTTGTCCAAAAAAAAAATAAAAATAAATAACATATGGCTTATCGGTGTAGATTTTTTTACCAATTATCGCATATAAATATCCCCTCTAGGTGGAGTAAAAAGCTAAGAACTTGTAATTTTTGAACAAATGTTTTCAAGAAAGATCATATAGATGCAAACGTGATATATTGTGAGTGTCACATCTAATAAATCTTGTTTATACATGCAAAAAAATTTGAATAATTTTAGAAATTTCTTTCTAGGTTTTTAGTGGACATGGTTTCAAACTATTCATATGATTGGTGCGTATCAGTCACTCGACCAGACAAACAAAGCATCTCACCTCCTTATTAGATAAGGAAAAATCTTCATTGCAAATAGAGATAGCCAAACAAATAGCCACATGCCCACACACCTATCCTCACCATCCCAAATGGCCACCATTTTCTCACCCTCAGCCCTCCTCTCTCCCTCTTCCTCCCCCACCACCAGCACAACTCCTCCCAAAGCACCTACTCCACCTCCATCCAAACCCCACCAACTTACTTTCCCATCCTACAAACCACCCTGCTTAACTAACCTAACTACCACTCTAACGGCCGCTGTTGCTGCTGCTGCCGCAACAATACTGACCACTACAGCCCCCTCAATAGCAGACTCACCCACCACCTACCAGATTTACTACGGCACAGCTGCCAGTGCTGCCAACTACGGTGGCTACGGTGGCAACGCGAGCAAGAAAGACTCTGCTGAGTACATCTATGACGTGCCCGACGGATGGAAAGAGCGGTGGTATCGAAGTTGAGAAGGAAACGAATGGGACTGACAGCGAGTTCTACAACCCGAAGAAGAAGGCAGAGAAAGAGTACTTTGACGATTCCTATCTGGGTTTCGGCAATTGGCACCGAGAGATGCAGTGCTGAATAACTTGGCCTTGTCAGATGTGGATCTACAAGACTTGATCGCCAGCGCAGATAGCGTGACATCGGAGGAGAGAAGGACGAGAATGGGCAGGTGTATTATGTGTATGAGATTGATGGGTTGGTGCCCATAAGTTTGATATCTGTTACTTGTGCTAATAACAAGCTGTACGCCCATTTTGTAATGCGCCTACACCAGAGTGGAATAGGGACCAACAAACTCTAAGGCACATTCATAAGTCTTTTAAAACTGTTGGATAAATGTCATTAGTTCATTTGTCTACGATAGATCATTGTGGGGCGAGAGAGAGAGAGAGAGAGAGTGAGAGAGAGGAGTGATAATTTGATGTAAATGATATGTACTTCCTTTTGTTATTGACCAATATGGATTCATTTGAGCATTCTCGTGTTTATTGCACACACTGAATTCATTTGTTAATGTTCTACTAAGGCAATTGGGTGATTTGGCCAGGGATTGTTTGTCTCAAATTTCTTGCTCTTATCCTAAATATACTTTCAATAACATGATTATAAATTGAGAACTCGGAAGTCTCAAACACAGTCAGGTTTTAGCAAAAAAAGTTGTTTATCCAGAAAAAAATAGTTTAAACACTTGTCTAGAATGTTGTTGGATGGTCTTCAATTCAATTTTGTATAATGGGATCCACCTTGTAAAATTTACATATCAATCTCAGATCATTTCAACCTCACTCTTCTTCTTTAGTGGTTTCCTTGCTAGCTATGTATGAAATTTCCCTTGCATTCTTGCACACTGTTCTTAATCTTTTACTGCTTTTATCTCGATCTGTTCATTGATGCTCTGTTTGCTTGTAGACACCAGCGGACTATGTTGAGTAGTGTCTTCTTCTCATTGAGATTTGCTTGGCATGGTGCAGCGGAGGGAACTCCTCATTTGCTTTGCTGGGCTTCTAGATCCCAATTCCCTACATATATGTCTTCCTTGCACACTTGCACTAATACCCTATTCATTATGTACACAAATATCTGAATCCACACACTTCTGATACTCTGTTTTCATTTCTACCCTTATTATCTATTAGGATACTCTGCTCTTATGTTGACTTTTTAGGTCTAGGAGTTCCTCCTCTAGCTGGTCACGGGAGAGGATACATCCTTTGATACAGGGGGAGAAGATGCAGCCCGCTAGGGGCAAGGTAAGCATGATCCAAGCTGTGGCAGAGGTGATCAGGTTGTTGTTGTGCAGCAGATAGAGGTCCCTTCCTCATGAGGAGGAGGATGAGGAGGGGGATGACGAGGAGACTGAGGCCAGCAGTGAGAATGCTAGTGGCTAAGAGTAGTGAGAGTGGCGAGAGTGTTGATGAGGAAGATGAGTCTAGCAACAATGATGACAGGAATGCTTCTAGTACACGTGCACCGAAACGGCGCAATATTGCAGGGAGTTGATTTTCTTTTTATTTCTTTCTTTTCCTTTTGCTTAGCAATAGAACCAAACAACATCGTCTGTATAGCTTTACTCTTTTTGAAAATTGTCATAAAAATTGATCGGGGCTTCGACCCTCATTTTATGAAAGAAAAAGTTTATTGCACATGACGTATGTATGGCACAACACCTACTTGAGCACAAGAACACTTTAATAATACGAAAGGGAATGGTTGTACTTCATGAGCTTCTAAGCTTACACGTACTTCAGACATTGAGCATAACTGACCAAAATGAAGAATACAACTTGAAAGCAAAACAAAGTCAAAACAACTAAAGACACCCAAATACACTTGTTAGAAAGAAAGAGGACTCAAAATTGACCACCAACACACTCAAGCTGAATCCACAATGCATCAACTTGTTTTTGAACCTTTCAGCCTTAGCCATGGCTTCTGTTGTCGGCCAGATAACATTTTGTACGGTCGGGTACGTTTTGGTGTGAGCTGTACCTTTTTCATGAATTGGAAGTATTTGCCATGCCAGGTCTGGAAATATTATACAACTAAGCTAATGTTGGCTAGTCAGGCATGTTCTGTACAGCCGGGCCACTGTTGTACGACGAGGTAATATTTTGGCTGCACAAAATGAAAAGTTGTCATGCACCCCTAGTTATCTCAACTACTTTAAAACACATCTTTCTCGGTTTTTGAGCTGAAAAAAGTGATTTTTGTCGTCCTTCTTCTAAAAAATAGATGTTTCGATTGTTTCAAGGCTTGAGGATTGAATACCAACCTAGATGGCATAATAAGATCAATTTTTCCAGCTTTGACCTGAACGCCTTATTTTACTTGAATCGTACTTCCTTATGCTTTCCTTTTTCCATGATGATGTTGTCGCTGTTGGGACTCGATCACTCATGTGTTCCACTTCATGATGCATGAGCTATGCTTGACTTTTGAGGAGTTTCGGGCATTGATGGAATGTACTGAGAGATGTGATCCTTCCTCAGCCCACCTTTGGTTATGGACATGCCCTGCTCAAATGTGTGGTATCACCCGAGTAAGGCA